CAATCTTACGGTGTCTTCATGGCTAGGGTTGTAAGAGACAGGTTCTCTTAAGGTCCTACCTCGATCATCCGTCCGATTCCTTGTGTTTGGGGTTACAAGAGATTAGAGATAAGATTGTGATATATATATAAATATAGACACACAAACACTACCTTCGATCCTTAATATAAGATCTAATTGACTAATTTGAGTAGATTAAGAAAAATAGTTAATTTAGTTATTTGTAATAAATATGTGTTGTCTTTCTTAAAATATTCTTGCTAATCAAGTATATTAGATAGAACTATCATTATTACAAAAACTGCCTTGAAAAAAAATAGATAAATATGAGAGACACAGTATATTAGAGTTTTATATTTAAGATCAAAATAAAAGTTAAACGAACTCATATTATATTATTGACCGGAGGTAGTATTATATAGAGTAGGTCAAAAGTTTTAAGAAAATGATTTTAATAAATAAAACATCTGAACTTTGTATGCCGGGAATGAAAATTATGAATAGATCGAAACACTATTTGGGGATAAAAAATAAAAGGAGGTTGAATGGTCATGGGCTCACTCATCATCATTATGACTAAGAGATGATGGTATTATCGTGCAATAAAGAAAATTTGATCCCATATCAAGAGAAAACAAGACATTAAAATACGTTAAAAATTCACAAAACCTAAATTAGTTAATTAAGAAAAATACTTAGGGTGTTTTAAAAAAACATATTATATTAACTAATTTAACCAATATATTTAATTTATTCAAATTAGTTAATTAGATCTTACATTAAGAATAAGATGAGTATAAATTTATGAAGGTTTTAGAGTAAATGATTAACTACAGTCCACCGAGCTTCCTTCTGGGCAAAAAGGAACACAGCTTTACATGAAAGATCTATATGAAATTCTCTTGCAGTTGCAGAAGAGATTAAATGCAATTTCTTTTCCTGATATTGCATTCTTTTATCAAATGGATTGCTCGCCTTTTTTTTTTTTTTAATCTCTATTGTTCTTTGTCAGGATCCAAAGATCTCTTTCAACAATAGTAGTTGTGCTATCCTCATGCGTAAAGTTAAAGCAAGGAAGAAATCCTTAATTTTTCATTCATAATCTGCTTTCAGGTTCAACTTTTGCAGCATTTTCAATGAGTTAATTAGGAAATTCAAGGCGCGCGATCACAACTTTAGGATAAAAATATTTTAAAAGCAAGTTGATAGAATTAGAGATTTAATTTTTCAAAGGCAAAGCAATAATTTACTCATTCCTGGTGCAAAATGTTCCGACATTCCTCCAACAAAAGCTATATATAAAAATATATTTACTATTACGTGTTCAACACTTGAACTTGCAAAGATAATTTTATATGATATTTTGTGTCAATAATTTAAAATGCTGTCTGTCCTTTGTTAATCATTGATATCGAATAAGTTTGCAGCGAGTTAATATTACTAATAAATTTTAAGAGAGGGTTAGGTTTATTTGTAAGAAGCTTAAAATAAGTTGTATTATCTATTGTTTGTAGATATCTTTTTAAAATAACTTTTATTAGTATAATGACTGCAATTTACTTTTTAAATTCTATGCAATTTCAGAAACTACCCAACTAATTATTACTTTGACAATTTTCCCCACTTGGACAGCCAAAAATGCCTAACAAATCCAAGTAGACAAGATCATAAGCCTACAAAAAATCTAGATAATTTGCTGTTTTTTTGGAATTGAATTGAAAATGGCATCATCAATTTAGGTTAACATGAGTGTAACTTTTGTTTATTTTTAAGAAACTGATTTATATTTAATTTCCAACCTTTGTGTTTTTGACCAGGGCCAACTTATCTTTAGTTGACTGCAATTTGTATTTAGCTATGTGCAAATGTTGTTCATTTTGTACATAATTATAAATATGTTATATACAGTTAAAGAAGAATTTTACCCACTTAAAATAGGTTGCATTTAGATCTTTAAACGAATGTCATTTATTTTTTAGCAATAAATTTTGTAATAAGAAACTTTTAGAAAAATTTTCTTTTTTATAGTATCACATGAAGTGAAAACCCACACGTTGGTTGGTTTCCAAATTAAATATCCGTTGGATGAGTTCTTTGCATCCCCTTATCACGGAGGACAATGGTGATTGTGGGGTGGCCATGGGGCAGCTGAAATCTGAAAGTTTATCTTTTTTTGGGTTTGTTTTTAATATTTATAACATAGAATTTTTTAAAAATAATTTTATAGCATAGAAAATTGAATAGAAAAAAAATTATGCATGACGGTAAACCAAATAATTTTATATAAATAAACAATTTACGAAAATATAATAAAATTTTCATCATTTCAAATTTTATGTGAATTAATAAATATTTATTCAATGTAAACGGTTAAAGATTATGTTTAACAGAATTAAACTAAATTAATATTGTACAGATATGAAATAATAAAAATCTATATTCATATCATTTCTCAGTTTTTATAATCTCATATAAATGATCTTCCAAACTATTTTTTTTTAAAAAAGACAATTATAATATAAAAAAAATAAATATCATCCTCAGTTTATAAACAAGGCGTATATATTTTGCACTTTGAATATGTCTTTATCTCAGATGAGAGATACTAATATTGTCATAATACACTGATCACTCCATGTCAGTCTTATCTCAAATCCACAAGGGAGAAAATTAGTTTTGAACTTTGATTGATGTAACTCTCCAACTGCAACACCAAAAATAGCTATATATTATTTTTTTAATCCAAACCTCTAAGGCAACAAATAATTATATATAGATAGATAAATAAATATAAAGTGAGATAAAGAAAAAAGAGAATATATACATAAGAATATAAACATGCATTAATAAATAATTATATACATGTGTTAGGAATTGGTAGGGAAAGCACTGGGTGCTTTTTTCATTAACCTTGATATCAACTTTCAACTGTTCTTTGTTGATTTGGGGGGGGGGGGGAACCACCGCTCTTTCTTTTATTAATTAAAAATCAATCTCAACCATTCTTTCAGGAGCATCAATTAATGTTACAATATTTTTATGTAAATAAAAATGTGATTTTTTTTTGGTAAATGTAATTTTTTGGGTAAACTTTAGCTTTTCATTTTATTCAAAAATGGAAAAAGCAAAAGCATAAGTTGACCATCATAATAAATAACAGCTGAAGCTGAAAAAGAGTGGATTTGAAAGGAAGATCATTTGGTATGATTTCGTGGTATAAGTGTTCAGAAAGTTATTACTATTATAAAAACAAAGATGGATTAATGGCTAAGAAGCACATTAATTATATCCTGTAGAAGATCTGTTTCGATTGAATTTTGAAATGAGGGATACTTGTAAATTGTAAGATCATACTTTCACTTCATGTCATCCTTATCCCAAATCCAATATATATCCTTAAGTTGAAAAATTCATTTGAGCTTGATGTAAATCTCCCCCCCCCCCCAAAATTAACCACAAGTAATTTTTATGTATATTAAATATAGGCATCTCTTTCAATGAGGATTTGAATTTTAGTTTACTATATTGTGAGAGATTAGCCCTTTTCTATTAGATAGAATTCCTATTGGTTGAACATGATATAACTCTCCCACTACAATAAAACTCATAAATTGTGCCCCTAACCAATTCATTAATTGTTTAATATAGTTAATACCACTCTGATTTTTATTATAAGTAACTTGTAATGCATTCTTGGATCCATTTTCAAATTATTAAAGCTCTTTTCTCTCTCTCTTCACATCTATAAATTATTCTCACATCTCTCTCATTTTTCTCTTTCTAGTGAGAATTAAATAACGGTAAATTAGAAAACGATCAACAAATACTTTATAAGTGACTTATATTTAGAACCAAAATTTTTTTCTACAAGTGACTTATGATAAGGATTAGAGTGGTGCTGATGAGACTTTTGAACAGAAAATTGCTGTTCGGGACTTGAACTGCGAACAGAAAAAATTGAAAAAAATGTTTAACGTGACTCAATTTCTCAAATAGACTTTTTTCCTGCAATTTTAAAAGGAATAATTTCACTAACATGCTTATCACACCTATTTAATTTCCTGTCAAGACGTTTAAGTTAAAACGTTTCAAGAAAGCCATAGGAAAAAGAGATGATGGGCATAAAAGATGGGGAAAAAATCTAATAAATGAGACGTTTGCCCACGTAGAAAATTTAACTCACTTTTCCTCTGGTGATTTAAGAAAAAGTGAATGATATTTAAATCCAAAGACTGAAAATTAATGACAGTTAGGTTTGTCAAAAGCTTTTGAGAAATTAATATAAACTTCCGAATTTGCAAGGGTTTGAATTTTGTTAGCACATTAGTTTTCAAAAACAAAATTTTTTTCGGAACCTAATTGTCATTAATTCCCACTTTTTAGAACCTATAAGTCATTCTCCCTCCACGAAATCGCCCATATACCAGAAACATACATAGCTCTCTGCTTCACGTAAAAACCTAATGGCTATATGCCAATTTGTTTTAATTAATGAATGAAGTAAATAATAATTTTTTTTAATTATTTTGCATTATGCAGAAATACCTAGCGTGCAGGTCACAGTTAAGTCGATCAAAGCTACAAGAAAACGACTAATAGCGGCATCTTTTTTAATTTCAACTTTGCCATCTTGATCATTTAATAGCCTTACCACCGTCCATCCCATTATTATTGTATCACTTGGCTCGCTCCTTTTTTTTTTTTTCAGAAAATAAAAAATAAAAAATAAACACAGGCATCTTTATGTTAAAAGTCTATTTGAGACGATACTAAGTCCATGTTGTTTTTTTCATTATTTTTATAAGTTTTCCTTCCTACAATCTACTCCTCCTATTTTACTCCTATCCAAATATATAAGGTAAATATGAACATCTCTTTCAATCAGGAATTCAAACCTGGTTTCGTAATGTTATGATGAACTAGCGTCTTTTCATAGACTTAATCCCTTTGGTGGGCTCCTTTATATAAACGTTATGTACATCCTCTCAAACAACACAGCATAAACATAGAGAAACATACACGCTCGAAAACTACAAACACAGTGATGATGAATCTCCAAGTTGAAGTAATCTCCACAGAGATCATCAAACCTTCGTCTCCAGCTCCTCATCATCTTCGACGTTATCAGCTCTCTTTTCTCGACCAAGTCTCTCCTTTGGTCTATAATCCTCTCGTTCTCTTTTATGCTCATAATGTTTCTACGAATCCTAAAAAGGATCACTCCAACATGTCCTCCATTACCGACCACCTCAAAAGATCATTGTCCCATGTTCTGACTCATTACTATCCTCTTGCTGGGCGACTCATAGATAATACCTTCATAGACTGCAACGACGAGGGAGTTCTATACTCAGAAACCAGAGTGAAGGGCCAGCTCTTGGATTTTATCCAAAACCCTAACCCTTCTGAACTTAACCGTTTGCTTCCATTTCAACTTGACAAGGTCACTGAGATAACCTTCGGTGTTCAGGTTAATGTTTTTGAGTGTGGCGGAATTGCAATTGGTGCTTGTCTTTCTCATCAGGTCGCAGATGCTTTGTCGTTTTTCACGTTTCTCAATTTCTGGGCTTCTGTTGCTAGTGGTAGTGGACAAGTTGAGTCGACAAGTTATCCAAGGTTTGTGTTACTTACTAACATTTCTTCATTTTTTTTCCCTCTATTGCAAAACAGCTTCTTCTTGTTCTTCTTCTTCTAGAGTCGTAGACTATGTTAGGTTGGACAACATATAATGTTAAAGAAAATTCAGAATCATCATTGAATGTGGTGGAATTGTGATTGAACCAATCACGAATAAATTAATATGTTTTAAATAATATAAGCTTAAAGTTAAAAAGAATAAATAATTCTTTATAATAAATTATCTTTAAATCCAACGATGAAAAGTAATATATAGTAAGATAAAAGGAGATATTCATCCACACACCATAATTTGCATCCAAAGTGTACATGTTTGATAAATTTATAATTTTAGAATACAAACAAGCATCTGTTTTTTTTTTTTGGGGATATTTGCTTCTTCCTTTTTTTTTTTTTTTTCATTTTCCAATGCTTAAAAGATATGAACATAAATTATAGCTTAGAAACATGAATTAAATTCTTAAAAAAAAAAAAATTTGTCCGGAGGAACTGGTTGACCGCCGGTTGTATCGATTCTCCCCGATTTAAGACTCTTTCAACTGGTTCTCCACCGATTCTTTAACCAAACACTTGACAAGTGACTAGTCTGATCTGATCTGGTTCCCACAAATTGGCATTAGTAATCTGTTTTCTAGACAAACTTTTGTATTAATAATAATTAGTGCTAGTTTTCCTTTTACAGCGATAGGTTTGTGTCGGCTAATCTCTTCCAACCCAAAAACACATCAGGGTTCGATGCTAGGTCTGGAATCATAAACGACAACATAGTCTCCAAAAGGTTTGTGTTTAATGCTTCAGCAATCGAAGCTCTGAGGACCAAATATGCTCAAACCGATGAGAAGCTCCCTTCCAGAGTAGAAGCCTTATCAGCTTTCATATGGAGTCGTTACGTGGCAGCCACACAAGACCCACATGGCGGCCCACAAAAAACCTACGCGGTGGTTCACGCCGTCAACCTCCGTCCGAGGATGGAACCACCGTTACCACCAGATTCCTTCGGAAACTATTACCGTGTTACGATGACGCTCATTCCAACGTTAGAGAATGAAGAGGAATGTAACTACGGATTTCTGTTTATAAAACAGGTAAGGGAACAATTGAAGAAGATAGACAAGGGCTATGTGAGAAGGCTCCAAGAAGGAGCAAATGAACATTTGGATTTCCTTAAGGATAGTTCGTACAGAGTGCTTGTGAAGAGAGAGATGGTTTCGTTTAGCTTCACCAGTTTGTGTAGGTTTCCTCTGTACGATGCTGATTTTGGATGGGGAAAACCTACGTGGGTAGGTTCCCCAGCTTTGACTTTCAAGAATCTGGTTGTGTTCATCGACACCAAGAATGGTGGTGGCATTGAGGCCTATGTTAGTTTGACTGTGGAAGACATGGCCAAGTTCGAAGCTGACAAGGAATTGGTCGCATGTGTTCATAAATCAGATACTTGATCCATGGCATGTCTGGGGAAAGGTTTGGATCAAACGATTTGATTGTCATGTGGGATCGATCCTTGCTCTTTCTACATATACTCGATCTACTTGAGCCTGAGGAGTATCTAAATCCACAAGTCTGAGATATCCAATATTGATCAATTTTAGGTCTTTATACATATTTGTATGTATGTACGTACGTACGTATGTATATCAGCAAGTCAGTACGTGGGAAAGAGTAGTAGCAGGATAAGTCGACTCTTGGTCTTGAGAAGTAAATATATCCAAAGAGAGACAAGTCCCCCTAAAAATGAACTTGCGTGCGTGCGTGCGTGTATATATGTGTATAAAATATATCCATATTTGGTATTGTGTGCTGTTCGGAAGATAAATATAAAAGTGATAGTTCCTCTTAGTCATGCAATCATGATGAATCAAAGTGTGTTTATGAAGAATTAATTATTAGTATTTCCAAAAGCTACTATTTTTTGAGTTATAATAAATTTTTCTTAATATAATCAAAATATTCAAACTTATAAAAAACATTCACTCATTAATATAAAACTCAATTGATTAATTTAGAGATATTAAAGAAGCTAAAAATAACTTAATTATAACATTTATTACATGATCTCTCTAAAACTTATATATATCATTAGATTATACTAGCTCTGGTCCTAAATATAGGACTTAATTTGCAATGTAAATGATATTATAAAGTAGGTTTTATGTTTATGACTAAGGTAATATATATTATAAGTTAGGCAAATTAGTTTAGGAAAAAATCGTAAATATAAATACCTTAAAGTAATTCATTTAAGAGAGAATTACAATAAGATTCCAAAAAAAGATAATTACTAAAAAGTTTTAATATATGGATTAAATTTAAGGATTTTAAAATTTTGAAAATTTTAATAAAGGAATATGGTTCTTGACTGGAAACCCTAATGCACTTTAAGCAAATAACATTTATATTCTATATTTTCAGTACTCTAGCATTTTCAGTTTTCTGTTTTGTCAACTTTTTAATAGTCATTTTAAACGTTTTTAATAATTATATTCACTATTTTTAACAATTTTTTTATTCTTTTCAATGTTAAAATTATGAAAGCTAAGTTTAAAAAAAATATACTTTTTGTTTATTGATGCAATAATTAAGCAATAAAGATGTGAGCATTCATTATTCCATTTATTTCTCTAATCAAAATCTCTTTAATTTAATCTCTGTTTTAAGCTTCAAATTAAACCCTTTATCTCCACAATTAATGAGTTTATGAGCATTCAATTATTTTCTTCTTGTGAGGAATATTCTGACCTAAGAACATGAACTTAAGCATGTGAGATGGATGGCACAACCTTCTGTGTATTTGCACTAACGTATATCACCAAAAATAGAGGGAACTTTGAAATTTGAATGGGTGAGATTTAATTCACCACTAATAAAACAGAAATGGATGAATATAACACATACATTGGCGTAAATAATTATTCCTTTTATTAGCCATGAAATTACACAGCCCAAATCTCAATCATAATTATAATGCCACATTCATTCCCTTCATTAAGCGGTTTAAAACCATATTATTAGCATAAAGCATAACTGCATGAGGGATCGAGTTATCGACAATTTGTCGCCTTTAAGCAGTAAAAGACTAGAAGTAGACACGTGTTGGCAGTAGAGGGCCCCAAATAGTCCCCCCCCCCCAGCGGGATATACAGTAGCAGCCTAAGGTTACAAGTATGATTCAATTCACAACCTGACACTCATAAAAAAATTTCATGCCACTAAATTATAAGGCTATATATTATTAAATATATATTATAAGTGTAAATTTTAGTGAAGATTTGGTGTGTATTTCAATAAAATTCTTAAAAGATTTGGTACATGCATTTATGTATTTTGGCAATTTTATTAAATTCTTCAATATTTTCTTATATATGCATTTATGTTAGAAGATTTGGTGTGTATTTCAATAAAATTCTTAAAAGCAGAACTTCACACAGATGCACACTCATTAATTAAATATTTATATATACATAAGCTGATGAATCCTCGTACGTAGATATAGCTAGCTAGAGAGCAGACTTCAGACTTGAATATTTGGAGAAGGCAAGAAGCTTCACAAATTAAAATGGCCTGCCCTCATTTCTCAGCCGCTGCGATGTATAAATTGATGCTTGCGGCCATGGTGATGATGCTCGTCATCTCATTTGGTATGTGTACAACTCTTTAATCAAATATATTATAAGGAATTTTCTTCAAAAATTGAGTGGTTCTTCTCATAAATCCCGGAGAAGGGTATTAATTATGTGTTTTTTCTTATAAAAGACTGCCCCTATTTAACGTTTGAGGAAATTAATTTTTCTTTTTTCTTCTAAAAAATGTAATTAATAATGATTACAAATATGGGTAAACTTGATGATTTTTTCTTCAGTTTTAAATAAATTTCATGGCTTAACCACATCTTTTTGGTTCTAATAAAGTGGTTGAATGTGGCTGATAATGAGAATAGAAGGGTTGTTTGATTTGTTTTTGCTGATATAAAATGAAAGTAGTGGGAAAAATGCAGGCATGAGCTCACAATATTGCCCAGGGCCATGTGCGCAATTTACAAGATGTGACGATTATTGCAAACTGATGGGCTATCAAATAGGGCAATGCGTTCCTCCTGAAAATTACTTCTGTTGCTGTGCAAAATCTGACTAATGCAACTTCATTTCCAGTTCTCCTCTATAATGATGAGTCAATGAATTATATATGTACTCTTAATCTTCTGAGTTATAATATCTCCTTGGTTAAATATATATATTGCCAGCTATTAAATATATATATAAGAATAAGCATGATTTGAATGAGTTTATTACACTTTATGTCATTCGCACATTCACATTAATTATCTCTTAATGGCGGGATTCACTAGACTGTATATTAATCAATTATTATGAATTATGATCACATTTATTGTAAACAAATAAGTATGCTAACAGCAGCGCAATAATTAACCATGTTCGGATCAGCTTCACAGGATGATTATTTATAGGGTAAAAATATAATTTTAATTCTGATCTTATTTTTTAGGTATTATTTTATTGTTGATCTTCTTTTGGGATAAGGTGAAAATTTTTTCAAAAATTTTCACTCAAGAGTACTGGACATCGAAATTTTTTTTGGGTAAAAATTTGTCTCGAAAATTTAAAATCGTAACAATATTATCTCCAACTATTAAAAACCCAACATTGATTGTTAAAATATTGATATTGATCATTAATTAAAATATTGATATTGATCGTTAATATTTTTAAAGATAGGGAATAATATTGCTATAATTTTAAACTTATGTTAAGGTTTACCTAGTATTTTAAACTATTTTTGATGGTTATTGGTAAAGTTTTGGCCCCACTCTATTAAAAATGGAGATCCCAAACTCCATGTGACAGCTGGGCATTTGCTTTTCAAACGATGACACGTAATTTTTAAATAGCCAACTGTGCATTGGGGGGGGGGACAAGAGCTCAACGCTCACACAAAATGCAATCCCTCCTTCCCATGACTGCCTCGACCTTCCTCTTTTCCGATGACCTAGTGAACGATTGAGACAGAGGCCTCCTCCAGTAATGAGAATGGTGGCAACAATGACCTTCTTCATTTAGCAACAATGGTGGCGGCAACCGCCGGCGAATGAATTTTCCAGATTGATGGAGTATGAGCACGAAGGCAGAGATATTTAACGAAAGAGAAGTGGCGGCGCTGAGGAAATGGCACCAGAAAGCGAGGAATTGGAGGTTAAGAGGAGTTGAGGTTCAGCGGGAATAGCGTCGAAAACGTCGGGGCCGTCCATGCATCCGGCGTCTCCCTTAAGACACTACCGGAGTGAAGTGGATACCGTCGGCGTCCACATGTCTCCCAGAAGATCAAACATGGAGGCGGAATATTCTGCATCTCCATTGCATTACATGAAGGTAGCTTCATCTAACCATCAGCAGCAGCAAGTGGAAATGAAGCCTCAACGCGGTCAACGTCAACCTGAAAGTCAAGCGCCTCCCTCCATTAATGTAGCTCAACATGAGTAATAGCTTCGGTTGATGAAGTTTTTTTTAAGTGAATGCATGGAAACGTTCGCGCACACACGCAAAGGTGTCAGTTCATGCTACTATTTATAAAGGATAAATGCTTAGCTGTCAAACTGAGTTAGGGCCCGTTTGATAGAAAAAAATCAATATCAATCAATATCAATATAACTTTACTATCTACAGCATATATTAGCAGACCCTCAATATAACTTGGCTTTTTTACTGGTATACTGCAAATAGTAAAAATATGTATATCAAAATCTGACAGTTTCAAAAGTATTTACTAATATGTTATACTTAAAATTGTTCTTCAGAAGAACAATTTTTAAAGCTGTTTTTCTGGTGAATGATTTTTTTAGAATCAGTCATCGATTTGCGTGAAGTAACTGAAAATCATTCTTCTGATGAATGATTTCAAAACTTCATCTCGTGCCAAACATTTTTCACATTCTCTCCTAATAAATGAAAATGAAATGATTAGTATAATAATTTATCAAATCATTTGAATGAAAAATCATGACTAAATAATGGGAGGAAAGTGTTGATAATTAAATAATAATATTAAAACTAATTGTGAAATGAGTATAAGATGTATATTAATTAAAAATAAAAAGTAATAAATATTTTATTATAAAAATATTAAATAAAAATTAGGCTTTTTTACCAGTATGCTACAAACAATAAAAATATATACTAAAATGCTGCAATTTCAAAAGTTTTTACCAATATATTATACTGAAAATCACTTTTGGCAAGAACGACTTTCAAATTATAAACAATTCGTTCTTGGCAATGATCTGTATGTTATCTGATAAAAAGTGAAATTGTTCATTTGACATTTTTTTTAAAAATCAAGAACGATTTTACTTTTTTACTATTTCTTCTTGATGCGAGAATCTCAGCCATTTCCTTTACATGCAAGAATCTCTCTGCCATTTTCTTCCTACTGCTTGCTTCTCTTACTTGTCAACTCAATTTTTTTCTTTCCAAGCAAACTCGTGAGGCCACAGCAATCTGCATGCTTTTATATATTTACATGTTCAGTTTTTGTTTCCTACTTCATCTCCTTTCATCTCAGAGCTTTCTCTTCTTCTTCCTCCTCCTTCTCCTCCTACTCTCGGTGGTTCACTTGCTTCATTTTCATTGTTCTCTTGCTCTATTATTTTTTCACTTTTGCTTCCAAACACTTGACAAACTCTTTTACTGCTGCTGCAGGCATGTTTTTTCTCTTCTATTTTTTTTTTCAAAAAATTTGCATCTCTGATATAGAATTTGATTTTTCATCCATACTACCCTTGATGAGCTAATA